TTGTAGAATAGAAAAAGAGATGCCAAAGTTTGTACGAAGCTACACAAGGCTTGAAATAATGGCGGTGATGTAGAGACCAATCCCGGACCTGAGCTCTCTCAAATCATGAAGCAACTGAATGTAATTTCCGCAGATATTAAGGAAATTAAGGAACAGAGACTAGCGGGTATTGAAAATAAACTGGACGCTCTAGGCGCACTAGAAGAAAAACTTAAAGCCTGCAACGACCAGATTTTTGCCATGAATAGCACAATTAAAACGCTTGAGCAAAGAGTTGAGGAGCTTGAGAACCGCAGCCGTCGGTCAAACTTAATTATTTATGGCCTAGAAGAAATGAAAGACAAAACAAGCGATAAACTGGAGCAAGCAGTTAACAAAGGTATAATAGAAAGTGTTCTTGGGCTGGAGCCGGTTCAAATTGAAAGAATTCATAGATTAGGCAGATATGCGCTAAACAAGACACGACCAGTGATTCTGAAGCTTCTTGACTCGAGACAGAAAGGGAGTGTTTTGAAGAATTGCTTCAAGCTCAAAAATACTGGCCTCTCTATAGGGGAGGATTTCGCTCGCAAGACCCGTGAGACAAGGAAAAAGCTTTGGGACAGCGCCAAAACTAATCGGGAAAAAAAAGACAAAGTCGCACTAGCATACACCAAGCTTTATATTAACGATGTCGCTTTTGTCTGGGACGACGAAAAGGGTGAAAGGGTTCCAGTAGAAAAAAACGACATAGTAAACCGCCCGAAGACCCGACAACACGCCCAATCAAAGAAATAATGTTACTAACCGTAAACGCCCGCAGTATACTAAATAAATCGGCAAGCCTTGAACAACTACTGCTTGATCAAGAGCCACACATAGTCGCCATCACGGAAACATGGTTGACGCCTGATATCTTAAACGACGAATTCACTCCCCCAGAGTACGCTGTAATCCGGAAAGATCGTCCCACACGTGGTGGGGGTGTGGCCCTGTTGATAAGCAAATCGATTCCTTTTGCCGTGCTTCCCGAAGTTATAGGAGCAGAGGCGGTATTCTGTAAAATTCATTGTGATGGAATTAGCATAGTAACCGGGTGCGTTTACAGAAGCCCCTCATCAGACAACAAATGTAGTATAGCGATCCAAGATTATCTTCAAACTCATGCCCATAACTCTCGACTAATCATCATGGGTGATTTTAACCTTCCCGACATAAATTGGAACAACATGCAGTACACGTCACAGTCATCGGAGACACTTATGGATTTAATTTTAAATTTCAATCTACAACAAGTCGTGCTTGCGCCAACACGTATAAAAGATCAAACAAAAAGCGTACTCGACCTTATATTGATTAGTGGCCAGTTCCCGTTAAATAAATCAGTCGTCAATGTGATTCCGGGGATATCAGATCACCGCATACCAATCTGTCAGCTCCAACTTGGATATGACATAACACCACGTTCATCAGTAACTACTGTACGAAATTTTCCGAAAGGTGATGATGCCAGCATTGTAACCTACCTAGCTCACGAATTTGAAAACTTTTCAAACCTTGCTATACATCCAACGACTGATGCAAATCATCTATGGTCGTGTTTCAAGACTATCGTTGTGTTCTGCGTTACCCACTTTGTCCCACTGAAAACAAAAAGGCAAAAAAAACATAATCCTTGGATAACCCGCGAAGTTTTACACGCAAAGCGAAAAGTTAAGAGGCTACGCCAAGCAATCAAAAAGAAAGGCAAGAATCCAGTAACCGTATCTAACCTAGCACGTGCTATTACAGACTTCAAACAAAAAGCTAGCTTCGCCAAAAGGCAATATTTTACTACAACGCTTCCGTGTTACATAAAAAACAACCCTCAACGATTCTGGAAACATTTTCGCTCTGCCGCTGAAACAAAGACGTGTTTAAGCGATAGCGATAAAACAAACCAGGCCAATATTTTCAACGATTATTTTCAATCTGTCTTTACTGATGACAATGGCACCACTCCTGCGGCCTTGCCCACAGCTCGAATTCCCATTGAACCATTAGTTATAAGCGACCCCGGGATTCTTAACCTACTTTTGAATCTAGACACGAAGAAAGCCAGTGGCCCCGATGATATTGCAAATGAATTTCTTTTTCGATACGCAGAACCGTGTAGTAAATACCTCGGCATAATTTATCGCAAATCAATAGAAACAGCAAAACTGCCATCAGAATGGAAAGTAGCAAAGGTGATACCCATACACAAAACCGGAGATACTGCTGTTCCTTCCAATTTTAGACCTATATCCCTCACCAGTACGTCATGTAAGATACTAGAGCATATAATCGCTAAGCATTTAACTATTTTTCTAGAAAACAACAATCTCCTGTCCCCCCATCAACATGGCTTCCGGAAAGGTTTATCAACAATCACGCAGCTTACCGAGGTTGTCCACGACCTTGCACTCAGTATAAACAACCGTGGCCAAACTGACGTAATTCTACTTGATTTAGCAAAAGCGTTCGATCGAGTGTGTCATACTAAACTGATTTCGAAATTGCAGAACATTATTGGGGATGGGGAAATTACGAACTGGGTAAGAGACTTTCTTATAAACCGGTCACAGTTCGTGGTTTTCGAAGGAGTATCGTCGTGGACAGCCCCAGTTAAGTCAGGTGTTCCCCAAGGCTCCGTCCTAGGGCCATTATTATTTCTAATTTACATAAATGACATCACTGATAACATAGACTGCAAAATTAAACTTTTCGCAGACGACTGCATTATTTATAGAGCAATTAACAGTTCGGGTGATCATTTATCTTTAAATAATTCATTGAGTAAGATTGCTCACTGGTGTGAGCAGTGGCAAATGTTAATTAACCTAACAAAAACAGTTTGCATGACGGTAACTAGGAAAAAAGAACCCTCCGACTTTACCTATACAATTAACGGCGTACCTTTACAAAGAGTTACGCAGCAGAAGTATCTTGGCGTCACCTTGACTTCCGAATTGAGATGGGATGCGCACATTAACAATGTTACAGCATCGGCTTTGCGTAAACTGTTTTTTCTACGAAGGCGTTTACCCTTCGCGCCGACAGATACTAGGCTCCTAACTTACACCACATTTGTGCGACCAATCTTGGAGTACGCTAACACTGTGTGGTTCCCGCAAGGTGTTACTAATATAGCAAAAGTTGAACGGGTTCAAAGGAAGGCCATTAGGTTTATACATAATAAGTACAAACGCACCGACTCACCCACACACCTTTTAGAAACCTCCGGTCTACCCACTCTTGCAACAAGAGCAAAAATCGCGCGTCTCAAATTTTTACACCACATTCTGCATAACCACAGCCGGATCGATGCATCCAGGTACATATCTTTGGCAGAATCACGAACACTACGACATAAACATGCATACACTATCAAAGAATACTCTTCCAACAACGACTGTTTCAAGCAATCCTTTTTCCCCCTGTCAATCAGCGAATGGAATAGGTTAGATCCCTCCATTACTAACGTAACATCACTGGCAGAATTCACTTCGAAAATTGAGAGTATACTTTGAGACAACGGCTTTCTTCAACCATGACCTCCAATATTGTTTTCCAGTAGTATTTATTTGGATGTATAAGTTTACACAATGCCTTCTCTGTATAAAACTGTATTGATTTTTTTTTTATGCAGCAAAGATTTAGTTTGCTGCTTCCGAAGTGTGAATATTTGTAGTGCATAAATACCTATGTCTAATGTTTCTATGTAACTAGGATTATTATTACTAATTTTAAAATAACTACAGTTCTGTATGCCGCCTGTAAGAAAGTACTTAGCATTCATTGTATTTTGATACTCATGCCCTCCTGCTTTGGTCTCGTAAGAGACTGGCAGTATTGTAAATAAATAAATAAATAAATAAATAATGAAAAGAGAAAAATCTGTAGACTATCTGGTTGCTTCTAGGCTGTTTCTTGGCTTTAGCTAGGTCATGCATGTTCTAGATCACTTTTAGGTTGTTGCTATGCTTTAGACAGGTGATCTATATTTAGGCTGTCTCTACGTTGACTCACAGTGTAGAGAGGTTAGAGTCAAACCAGAGGCAAACATTACACAAATGTCCAAGCTCCAGTGAGAGAAACTTGCTCTGAAACCAAGCATCCGCGCCTCTCGTAGACCTTCAAGCACATTGCCTTTTTCATTCCTTGGCAGCCTCTCATATGTACTCGGGTCAGCGCATCACCATTGCTTCGCAGCAATTTGATGGGCTAACTGCGGCCTTGTTCAGTTTTCACTTACTTAGAACCGTGCGAGTGAGTAGGGTCGCTGCTTCTTGCCGTAGTAATCTCTGCCGAAAACACTGGTGGGCTCGTGCCGTGTTGCGGTGTTTTTATTTTGGTTTTAACGGACCCGTAGTGAGTAGCGGAATTCACAGAATATTTGTGGCATATACCCGTTTATGGTTGCAACAGTTTTCTGGTGGGCCGCACAGTGGCTCATACCCATTAAGATGATGATCGTTTTGTGATAGGCCACACATATTACAACTAGCTTGAACTCCATTATTACGAAAGCTTTTAGGCGCCGTGTCGCACCTTAAATAGAATGCTTCATTTACATTAGACTGTCAGTGAACAGGAAGCTCTTAGATGGAATGGCTGTCTAAATAAAGCAATTTCCTTCAATACAGTTGTTGAAGGTGAGATAAACTTTATTTGGTCCTGGAGAACTTTCATCCATGAATACTGCACCTTGGTTGACCTCTTAGTGTAGGGCTTTCCTGTTACACTGAATATATTTTCTTGCCCCTTCAGATTGCACTTAATGAGAGTATACTGTGCTATATGTACTATCACAATATATGGGCTCTTCTATCCAACACCTTCTTCATTCTATTCTATTTTTCTACTATCACGTATGTAAAGGTATTTTGTAAGAGGTTGTAAAAGGCATTAAAAAATGTTGGCTTAGACACAAATAAGTATTACAAATGGAAACTGAATGTTTTTGTGAGTGATGCGTGACTTCTTTTCTCTGCTTCCAGAGAGCTTTTCCCGTAGTTGCACTTTAGTGAATAAAGACAGCGTGACGCACGACACAACGTTGTTCACCTTTGCGCTGCCGCAAGGCTCGTATATGTGGGTACCCATTGGGCATCACGTGACACTTGAGCACGATGTGAAAGGTCAGTAAAAGAATGCTTTTTGTGATCATATCTTGCCTTGTGTTCTTCCAAAAATTGGTAAAAACTTCTTCCAAAAATTGGTAAAAAGCATGCTTAACACATGCTTTTTTCTATTATACTAAAAGTGATGGAAATAATGGAAAGGACTATGATTATTGCTTTCTTTTTTTTTGCATACATTTTTTTTATGCTCAGACCTCAAAATAAAAAAACCAGGATATAACGAAATATCAGTTTTGACGAAGTAAGTGAAAATTAGTTTTGCTATAAATATAGTGATAGGAATATACCTTTATAATAAGTTTTTGGGTATAACAAACTTATTTTCACATAATTAAAGCTATACGCAAAATTATTTTGCATATAGTGACATGAAAAGGCCTCTAGCATAGTATAGGAATTTACTGGTTATAAAATGATAATTCATACTCTGTAACAAGCTCTGTGCATGCAAAGATTTTATTTTGTGGTTTAGAGCTATAATTATGAATACTGTATTAAGATTTAAATGTGGTTTTATAATACAAAAAAATGACTTGAATATATTGTTGAAAGTATTATATTCTGTATTATTCACTTCTGGCATAGTTGTTTAATGTCATCAACATGCAATTTACTCTCATGTGTCACTATTTCACTGTGCCTACATTATTTTATAGAAATTTCAGCGCAGCTCAAATGTGCCATAAAAAAATGAAAATGCTAGTTTTCTACATTACTGGATGCAAATTTCGCCATCCTTCATTGGGACATGCATAAATGGAAGATGACTCGTAATGTTGTAATTCAAGTTTTCTGTCACTTTGGACATTATAGCACAATCAATGGCAAATTGTAACAAAGCTTAAATTGACCTGTGTTTTTCATGGGGAATGGAGCGAAATCGGTAGTCCAGAGGACGTTAATCATCACACTAGCTTTGTGATTCCTTATAGCACTCAAGTAGGGCTGTGAAGAAGTGTAGCTGATGATGCCTACGATGCATGATTTCTAGGAACTTGCATAGATGTGAAATACTCTTTTGTTCTTTTGTCGACGTTAACGAAGGAATGCGAATATCTCGGAGCTACACCCCGGTCATCCCTGCTCTAAAAGCCGACGAAGAAGCGAGTGATGGGAAGACGGTACACCTGATGATCAAGATCTACCCTGATGGGGCCCTGACTCCCTTGCTGAAAGCCCTAGAAATTGGTATGTGGCAAGAATTCAGCATCCGGGGAAATAATTTTTATGTTTCTCTGATGTGTGAGTAAATATGGTGTGTGAACGCAAACAGTGACTGGATCATGAGGGTTTTGAAAACGTCTGATATGTAGGGGCTTTTTGACAGATTGATAGAAGAAATTTATGAAGTCTGGGCTTTGCATATAGGATCACAACACTTCTATTTGTGCACTAATTCCATGTTTCATCCTGCTGAGCACATAAAAGAAAAATGAGTTTACTAACTGAACAAAATAAGAAATGTCAGCTTATTGAGTGGCCACTTACATACTTTTCACATAAAAGAAGGGATAAAATGAAAGGGAGGCACAAATATTGACAGGGAGTTGCAAGGAGAGAGGTGTTCTCTTCCTAACTAAGCATCATGTTTGTACACTGCGCATTTCTATGCTAATAACAATGTATGTATTAAGAAAAATCAAACCACGTTCAACAGTTTAGTACAGAAGAAAGAAAAATTAAGCATTAATGAAGTGCCCTTTTTGTCATTCAAACTGTCACAGCAGAGTTGCTGTTGCAGGCTGTGCAGGATGAAGATCATAAAGTGAACTTGTCAGTACTTGTAAAAGAAGGCACAAATAACCACTGATGATGGTGTTGGTTCAAGTGGCAGTTACTAGAGTTAACGTGCTGCCACCTGCACGTACACTTGACATATTGTGACACATTTTGAAAGGCAAGGCTACCGTAAAATTCCGAGCAAGTGACACCCCTCCCCCCCCCCCCCCCCCCCCCCCCGCAAGTGGTGATAATGGTCACGGTGAAGAGGAGGGGGTGCTTGTGCGGAAGTGCTTCAAAATTCTAGTTGGCGGCCGATCGGGTTTTTTCTCTTAAAAAATGATAAAGGCTTCTCACAGTGATGTAGAGTGAACAAAAGCTTTATTGGGACATTTTAGATTATTACTTTATTCACTTTCAAATCAGAGTCTATGTCAGCCCCGCCGCGGGGGTCTAGTGGATAAGGTACTCGGCTGCTGATCCGCAGGTCGTGGGCAGAGATATAGTATGTGCGTATCTCCCAAAGAAAAACAATTAATGACATAGTCTTGTCACATTGCTTGCATATGCAGCATTATTTTTCCAAGCATAGAATCCCAAAATTTTTAGTGAATTTCAATTAACCAGCAAGTGTCTGCTCCTTCCTGAGCTCTCAGTTCTCGCTATATGAATGGCGTGCATTGTTTTTACAAAAACACAATGTTCTAATCATGGTAATCGAAACAAAATGGAAACAAACTTTTTTGTCATTTTCTCTTTCTATTAGTAAGCATTTCAATGCAGATCGACATAGCTGGAAGCATTCTTTATCATGCTCATTACATTTTTACATTTACATTTTTTTATTAATTGTAATTTTGGAGTCTTGTTATATTGTAGGTGGAGTGTCTGATAGAAATATTGCAAAGCCCGTTTGTCTTACTTCCAGCCAGTATTTTTTAATTTTATGTGGTTATTCCTGTTATATATTAAGTTCTGAATCTGTGAAAGTCGTGTTTATTTTATATTAGGTTACTGTATTAATTAGAACTAGTTCTTGTTATAATTGTATTTGACAAAGAAAATTAGCCCTTTTCAAAGTGAGAAAAATACCTGCCTGAATTAGGTCGCACATTAGGCTGATTTAGTTTGTAATTTTGAATGCTTGTGGAAACACATATAGTTCAAGTTACTTTGGCATGTACATAGAAACTTTTCTTATTAGCCAACAGAGGTGGCTTAAAAACTCAAAGTTGAATTACTCGAACTGTGTTTGTTAATACACATCATTGAGCTTCAAGTATGTACATATATATATATTGTCTTTTAAGCCCAAGTTCAGCCTTCCTAGACTAGCACTACCAAAAGTCGCACTTTTGTAGTCTGTATAACTCTTCAGTGGCTTTGCAGTGAGACAAGTGCGAAAACATAGTGCGACAGGGAGGCATACAGCTGATAGCTCCATAGAATGTTACCGTGCTATTGCTTTTCTGAGTGGTCACATCAAACTTGAGTTTTGTGTAACAACTAAGGCATTTACGACAAGAGTATTGTTCGAGGGTCTCACTTCTTTGTTAGAAACAACCAATAGAAGCAACGGACTTAATTAAGCCAAGAAAAACATCAGGAACATTATTTGTTTTTAACACTAGTGTAAAGAATTTTACTTGACTGGAAATAAAGTGGACGAAAAATCATCATTTTCATCAGCAAAATCAGAACCCACAACTTTGAAATTGCTCTTCCGGTGCCTTACCAACAGCATGATGGAGGGGGTTCCCTCGTTCAGTTTCTTTTTTGTATTTATGTGCGTCTAATTCGTGCATGTGTTAGGATTACTTGTAGCCGATGCGGCGAATGAGGAACACCCTTTATGCCATAGGGCGTCGCCTTGTACATGATCGTTCGTTTTGAAATGGCAGCCGGCCAATAAGCACTTGCATGCTACGTTAGGCATCGAGTCTGCTGGGTTGAAGCCCTCACCCTGAAATTACAGTAGACTCGCAATAATTCAAACTCTAATGATTCATACTTTCAATGAATTCAAATAAAATTCAATTTTCTGGTCGGCCCTCTATTTTTTCAGTGCATTTAAAAGCCCCTTAATTCAAATTCCATCATTCAGTCAATTCATACTTTTTGTGGTTCCATACCGGAAAATGTCTGCTGCTTTCCCACTACTATTTAAAAATTTGTATGCTTTGTATAATAATATGTATAAAAATGAAAAATCAGGGCCTTAGGCCTTCAAGGAAAAAGGCTTTGCTTGTAAACAAATGTTTGAAACGGAGCATATGCATGGTAAACCGTGATGCTTCTCAACTGGTATAGAGAGCTTTGTGCTGAAGGCACGTATAGCAAATAAGCAGTTGGCAATTCCCGATTTCTTTAAAAGGTCTGATCAGCAGGAAATGGCCAATAAGCTTGTGGACCCAACCCTTCTGCTTTATGTTCATTGCATGCAGTTAGGGTTTAAAAACATAAAATCAATGCATAATCATGATGTGTGGTGTCACCTCACCCACCTCTACACTACGGCGTCTCTCATAATCATATGGTGGTTTTGGGAAGTTAAACCTTACATATCAAATCAAATCACCTCACCCCCAGTCATATATATGAGAACTTCTAATAATTCAAACAAAATTCAGAGGTTCCTTCGAGTTTAAATTAACGAGAGCCGAATGTAGTACGAAATGAATCTTTTTCGTAGGTGCCTTCTGTGTATGTGCCCTCAAAAACTCCACAACAGTGCCACCCCGAAACTTTTTTGATGGCTCAACGTTTCTGAAACCTCAGAGGCCATGAATGTGAAGGAAAATACAAGTTCTCACGCTGTCACGTCGACCAGAAAGCCATCAACTATGCTTATGGCTCTTGCCGCTCGGAGTATGTAACTATTGGAAAAAAGTTGTATTTGGGCTTTCAGATTGCACCTATGGAAAGCGTTATTTTCATTTACTTTCTTTCCTTTAAATTTAAGTACTAATCTCTACACTGCAGTTAAAAAGGACAAGTAATGTTCCTGATTTTCCTTGTTGGCTGCGTACTAAGGCATATATGAGGATTCAAAGCTGGCCATTGACTGATATTCTTTGCCTGGTGCAGGTGACAAAGTTGACATGAAAGACACCGAAGGGGACTTCGAGCTGTCGACTTTGCAGAGTTGTCAAAACCTCGTTCTCCTTGCCGCTGGGACAGGCTTCACGCCGATGGTGCGGCTACTGCATTGGGGGATCTTTGTCTCCAAGCAAATGTGAGAAAAATACTTCTTCTTATGTCGTAGAGCACACAAAATGCCAGATTTTGTTGCACGTCCTAATGATCTCAAATGGCGGGTGCATTACCCCTACTGAAAATTTTAACTGGTTGATAACAGTTATCTATGTGAAAATAGGAACGCTTAAGACGGCAGCCTTCAGCTGCGTGAAGCAGTGTATGTGAATTGAGCGAATGTGAATTGAGCGGATGGGGCTAAGCTGATACTTCGCTGAAAGCCATGAATTATTCTAAAGTGCATTCAAAGGCAGACATTTTATAGAAGCCAGCTGTAAAGCAGGGTTCTCAAGTGTTTTCTTCTGTTGCAAAGGCAGTTCCAAATCTCTTACAGGCACTAATGGCTTGCATCTACTACATCAGGGCAGTACATATGGCCAGGGCGTAAAAACAAGAAAGAAAATAAATGGCTGTTACAAATTTCTATCATAAAAAATATTCCTCCATGTTTACAGCAGAATGAGAGCACATTGAGGTAACTACATCGATTGCTGTTGGTTTACAAACCTGAAATGCTTCTGCAATGATTGGTGCAGCATTTTTGAATCAGTGTAATTTATCTTTTCAGTAGGTATACGATCCACTATCAGCTAACTCCATCTGCGTAGTTCAAAACACCGTTTAATGAATTCACTAACACTTTGATTTGGGCGGGTTGGTACATACTCGCCCAAGTCAAAAATACAGTGCTCGTCTGGGTTCTGTATGTTTTCTTTGTCTTCGTCTAATTCGCCCTGAAGCCTATCCAAGAATTCACTAACAAACTACAGAACCAATCTGTTAGTGCAATAAATGAAATGTATCATATTTACTCGAGTGTGACGCAAGCTTTTATCCCAAATTTTTTCTATTTAAAGTGAACTTTCGCATTACAGTCAAGTACCTAAAGTGAAGTTGACTAAAAATTAAATGCAATTATTCACATAATTTTTCAATTTTGTTTTATGTTTTTCTTCCTGGACTCAATGAAAAGTCACCCCCCGCGTTACAATGGTGGTCGCAGTACAGTTGAGTAAATTCGGTAGTCGCAAGCCACAATAATCATCAGCAAATACCAAACAACAAACTTTGATGTTTGTTGTTTTGATGTTTGAACTTTGATGTTTGACATTGTGCTGGCCTCCTTACCAATCTTTTGTGAGCCTTTCATGAGTTGTTCAATTCACTCCCTGTCAGATGATCAGTTGGCCACCTGTTATATGCAACTCCATCATGCTGAGGAGGTTACCTGTGCCATATCCATATTAGCAAACACTGGGATTATAGAAGTGTCGCCTTTGTTGTTGGCTAAACTGTACTTTATCGAAGCAAGCACTTTACACAACTGACTTTAGGTGTGATGGAAATTGCTGGAGTCCTTTCATGCATGCCATGAGCCCCGCCACGGTGGTCTAGTGGTTAAGGTACTCGGCTGCTGACCCGCAGGTTGCGGGATCAAATCCCGGCTGTGATGGCTGCATTTCCGATGGTAGCGGAAATGTTGTAGGCCCGTGTACTCAGATTTGGGTGCACGTTAAAGAACCCCAGGTGGTCAAAATTTCCGGAGCCCTCCACTACGGCGTCTCTCATAATCAAATAGTGGTTTTGGGACGTTAAACCCCACAAATCAATCAATCAAATCAATCATGCATGCCATGAGAATTGTGTCTATGGGTGATTCCACGAGAGATCGACACGGGTCCAAAAGTTGATATTTTAGATTTCATTGAGTATTTTATATTTCGTGCACCTCTCACCAGGTAGCCCGAATGTCAACTTCGTTTTATTATTAACAGCATAACTTACGAGGAAAAAATATCAAACTTCACCAACACGGAGGCACCAACTTCGTCACGTGTCATTTTCGAAAATTGCAGATGCTATAAAAAGACAAATATTTTTGTTTCAAGGAAGACATTTTTTACCTGAAATGTATGTCTAATGAAGAATGAATTCATATGGTTTCAAGTTCGCAGATTTTTAGAAAATAGCTTTTAAAGATGTCTAATTTTGCCACAGTTTAAAATAAGTTACGTATCCCCCATTTTTTTTCTCAGAAACTAATGCAAGCAGCGTTTTCAAACTTGACACGTTTTAAGGATATAGTGTGTTCATTAGGTACATAAATTAATGCTGCCATAGGGCAAATGTAAATTTTTATATATTGCCTCAAAGTTCTCATAATGGCAAAAGTGTACTCCACTGAAATTTGAATAATGAAAAAACTCCATCTTCGATTTTTCTTAAAATCTCGTAAATAGACAACCGAAGGCCATCATACAGTAATATAGAAAAACATGTTGCATTATTTTGTTTTTAGCGACAATATTCGTGGTACATATCAGAGCTTTTCGAGAATGCGCTGATAAGTTGAGAAATCTAGAAATCGGAACGGAAAAGCGGGAATAAGCTTCAAAAGCAAGTAAACGTGACCGCATTTGGTGAAGAAAGGCTGTTTTAGCACTGTGACATATACGTACCCATGAAGGCGCACTTATGCTCCTGATAACACAGCTCTAATGGAGGAAATCTTCGACCCTGTAACTCAGTTGCAACACATCCGTCTATATTTGGAGATAAACTCAAACATGAAAATGTTCCAATGCAAGTGTTGGGTCTCGCTAGAAAAAGCATATGCGCTTGAAGTACCCTCACTGGTATTTTGGTGGTGACTGCGTGAAACAAGAGATGCGCTCAAAATGGCTGCATCTTTCGCAGATCACATTTAGCAGTACGTGACGCTAACAAAACACGACCACGATCAGTGCCCTCAGATGTGCTTAGCCAAACATACCAAGAACGTATGCCTGGAACACGTGGCAACGATTTCCACTGGCTCTTCTTAAACTGACAGAATGTTTCTAGCTCGTCTGCATTTGCACACAGCAGCTTGACATTCTTGAGCTTCGCGCTCATTTGCTCCAGCATTTGGGATGCTGACATAATCACAGCTGAGCTTGCCGCTCTGAGGTTGTAGAGCGTAGCCTGATGCTTTAGTAGGCCACGAACGCCGTCACAAGAGTTCTTGCCATGTCCTGTGGCCGAAAAAATCCACTTTGTTGATATATGATCTTTCTGACATAACTCAAACAACTGGTACTTGTTTTTGAAGTGACTGCATGCACCATCAGAAACATAAGTAACATGCGTGTCAGGCTTAAGTTGTTCCTTCATATAGTTGTGGATTATTTGTAGAACAAAACAGATATGTGCAGCATCATGGCATGTGTCATCACTGATGACGGCAAAACTTTGAATTGATTGCTTCCTTGTGACGGCACACGTGAATATAGACACCTGTCTTTTGTGCCAGTGATACGACTGTACCTCGTTCGGTAAAATGGCTGTCCAATTTTTGGCGAAATCAAAGTAAAAAATGCAAGATTCTTTTTCTTGGTTCTCTTTCGCCTGGCGTATTGCTGATTCTTGAATGTATCTTATGTAATCATGGGTAATCCACTTCACGAACCATAGACTTAGCTCTCCCAGAAAAGCACTTGCCTGGGCTATTTTTTTTTTACTAGATCGCCATTTTCCCATACTGCATAGGCTACCTTAATATTTTCAGGGATTCCTAAACATGTGGCTGTCAGAGCGTCCTCCTTGGCACAATAGTCACAATGGCCAAAAAAACAATCACTTGTAGGGGAGCTGCAGACATAGTTCTTTCAAGAAGTCCGCCGTGTAGGCACCATCGGTGACGTCTTGTAGGGCAGAAACACACTCCGTGGCATTAGCACAGTATATACAAAGGCACACTTCTTGGTGTGGTTCAAGAAGAACCCACTTCGGCCTCAGTGAATAAAACTTTGAGAACCTAATAGACGTGTCTGGATTAGCTTCTCTAAAGAGACGGTAAGCCTCTCGCACCGAACGGTTTATAAACCTTTTCGAAACAAGCTCCTTTTTTCCGTCAATGATAACAGATACTACATCTTTTTTGTTGGGACTCTGCCGAGAGCAGCTATACTCATCTTTGGAGTAGTAAGCCATAGCTGCGTGGACGTCCATTGGGTTGAGCCGTGTCCTTTTTACCGCATTTGGTGCTAACCATATCCCGTGTTTCGCGCGCCAGCGTCGAGATCTGTATATCATGTAAGCTGACAAGTTTGGTATAAGCACTCGGAGTTTTTGGCGCTCTATATCGCTCGGTAACAGTGTCAACAAATGCATGCGCTCTTGATACGAAGAACACGCTTCATAGGCTTTCTTGATGTTCTTGAACCACTGGGCACACACACTGCATTTTAGATCTGATGGTTGAAAGTGGCGGTTACACACGTTACGGTGGCATTTCACGGTTACTGTAGAACTGCTGCTAAGGTGTCTTGGCTCTGCATGAACTTTGCTATTTTGCGCATGCAGCTTCTCTAGTCGCATATGTGACAATGCTTCAGGCGTGTTTACGCACCGCTCTTGACTTCTGCCTTTTTCTTCTTCCGGCAAAAACTCATCAGCTGTTTCAGCTGAGAAGCCATTAGACGAAGACAGCATATTTCTGAGGCGTCTGAAGCAGTTCTGGCAGACGTGGTCGTTGTTATGTGCATGGCGGGCAGCTTTCAGCAAAAGCTTCTGGAGGGCAAACAGGCCGATGTCTTTGATCTTGCGGAAGTTTCTTTGATAAAGTATTTTCTTTTTATGCAACATGAGGTAATCTGAACAAAAAACTCTATCCCGGCTGAAGTGGTCAGCCATCGCCACGCTCCTTAAGACTCAAATTACTGGCAATGCAGCTCTACGTGAAACCAGCAGCACGAAAGTGATCTATCTGTCGTCTGTTCCAATGTCTCTCCCTTTTAATGAGAGCAGACGTAAAACAGCGTGCACAAGTATCTGCAGTGCGAATGCAAAACTGAAGTATAGTACGTTAAAATGAATTTCACAATGTTTTTGTCGATAAAATTACGGGAGGCGTAATATTTGTTCCTACTTTGAACCATATGATCTAAAGCATTGCCTCCGAGATGCGGCGCACAGCAATTCATCTGTAGAGCAGACGACGGATGACAACTTGCCCTAAAGCATGTTCTTCAGTCTAATGCAGCAGTATTCGTGCCCCAAATGATAAAAATTTGTTATGAATCGTTTATGAACTCATTCAACATTCAATTCTCTTACCCAACGTGTTGCAAACACATGGCCGTCACAGCAGCTCCATCTGTGTGTCTGTAATGGAGAGGCACCACATCTTAGAAGTCTCAGTGCTCTATGTATAAGAGTGAATTCAGATACTGTAGAATATCGTGTTCAAAATTGTTACTCCTATCTGCTAAAACAGCCTTTCTTCACCAAATGCGGTCACGTTTACTCGTGTTTGAAGCTCATTGCCGCTTTTCCGTTCCGATTTCTGGATTTCTCAACTTATCAGCGCATTCTCGAAAAGCTTTGATTTGTACCACGAATATTGTCGCTAAAAACAATATAATGCAACATGTTTTTTTATATTACTGTATGATGGCCTTCGGTTGTCTATTTACGAGATTTTAAGAAAAATCGAAGATGGGGTTTTTTTATTATTCAAATTTCAGTGGAGTACACTTTTGCCAATATGAGAACTTTGAGGTAATATATAAAAATTTACATTTGCCCTACGGCAGCAATAATATATGTACCTAATGAACACACTATATCCTTAAAACGTGTCAAGTTTGACAACGCTGCTTGCATTACTTTCTGAGAAAAAAAATGGGGGATACGTAACTTATTTTAAACTGTGGCAAAATTTGACATCTTTAAAAGCTATTTTCTTAAGGTCTACAAACTTGAAACCGTATGAATTCATTCTTCATTAGACATACAATTCAGGTAAAAAATATCTTCCTTGAAACAAAAATATTTCTCTTTTTATAGCATCTGCAACTTTAGAAAATGACAGGTGACGATATTGGATCCTCCGTGTTGGTGAAGTTTGATATTTTTTTTCTCGTAAGTTATGCCGTTAATCATAAAATGAAGTTGACTTTCGGGCTACCTGGTGAGACGTGCACAAAATATAAAATACTCAATGAAATTTTATATATCAACTTTTGGACCCGTGTGGATCTCTCGTGGAATCACCCCTATGCAATTTATTGTTTGTGTGCAATGCAATGCATTGACTAGTGATGATGCGTTCATTCCATGACCACACAGCAGCGTACATGTCTGGCAAAATTCATCACGATGGCTTAGATACACTGAGCCTATGACTGCAAGTTCAGAGAAGTATGTTTCTAGAGTGGTTAATAAGATCTGAACCTTACTGATTGGTAGTGGTGTTTGAATTCGTCTGTGTAGTACCTTTCTTATCTTTATGACACTCTTACGTGCTTCTATTTTATGTTTTTTTCTTTGTTCTAGAACCAGTTTCACACCTGTCGTTGTAACGGCTGTAATTTAATGAATGTATGGCATGTTTTGTTTTGTTTTTTTTCTTTCAGTAACATAACTTTGGTGACATTCAACAAGACTGTGAGAGACATCATTTGGAAAGAGGAGTTGGATCGTCTACAGGAGCAACATAATCGGTATGCTGCTTTTCTCATTCTACAGCACAGAGAAAACTCTTCCGCCATATAAACCTTAGCTGCCTCTCTCTTTAATCGGGACCACTCGTTTGCCTCTTGTGTGGAGATAGGTTTGCTCAAGAAGTTCACCCTATGAAGCAACTGGGAAGGAATGCGTTCTCCACTGCTGTCGCGCACAGAGACACTGAGGCTGGGTTCGTGAACCAGCCAACATGACCCAGAAAAGGCACACGAGGCACGTCATCAACAAACACGGGTTCATTAACCAAAAATACAGCACAGTGGGACAATCACGAAATTGTGAGCCGTTAGAGTAGCTCCACAGCACTGATCGAGCACACTCCCCTGTGGTGACATGGTTATCATACAAAGGCAAAACCACTGAAATGCACAAACAAGAAGTCGCTCGCAAAGACAGAGCGTCACTTCAACGTTGCAGGTGTGCCAGCATCTCTTATGCAGTGAGCCGCTGCCAGAGAGCAGCAAACTCAAAAGTGGAAACTTCACTGGCAGCCAAGGAACATAGACGTGCACAGAGGCATGTCATAGCATGCCGTGCACCTGAAGCAAGCAGGGCCGGTGCATGCGCTAGCGGGGAACAAGGGGCTATGGGAAAAGACACTCTCGCTTCCCACATTCCTTATGTTTGTTAAAAAACTACCTTAAGTCCCATTTCAGCGCTGTGTCGGCAAGTGGACAAACCCGGCCATAGCGACTTTGTGCACGACGGTAGTGGAAAGCATCACGTCCCTTACCTGAAAGACATAAGGGACATGAAACCTGAAAGATAGAGAGGGGTTACCTGAAAGACATACGTCTACGGTAATCCTATGACAGTATGCTTAAACACCAGGCTCCCAAAGAAAAAAAGAAAATTTCTCAGAGGAAAATGTTCTCAAAGTACAAGTGACGAGGGGCTGCAAGTTGCCATTTGAAAATTATGCTAATTAATTTAACTTAATAAAATAGTTCTTCAATTAAATTCATGTCAACACTATATTATTACAAATTATAACTGGTGCATCTGCAAGGTATGTTCACTTTATTGTATTTTCAGGTTTTCACCAGTTTCAACATATATTCATCCCCAAAGTATGTGCCAAAGCACATTGACATCCTAGCTAATTTTGCACTTCTGTGCACAGAGCCATACTTCATCACAAAAGTAGGAGGCAATTGCAACAGAGTGCTTGGTCAATTGCACATATCTCACTATGTCTATGCCACCCTTGAATTTCATTCAATGTCTGTTTACTTTGAAAACTGTCTGGCTTGATTCGACTAATCCTAATTGGAAGACAGTTTGTGTTTTGGTTATTTGCGACAAATTAATGTGGTTTTAGCATTCATGAACGTCCCCTACCCCTGACAGTCACCTTTCGACAAAATGTTCTTACTAACAGCTTAACAGTTTAAACTTGCAATTCGGCTTCAAGATGTGAGCAAAAAGCTGCACCCATCAGTAATGTCATTGCGCAGCTGCACCTAGTGCGTGTAAGGAAACTCAGTCAATGCACGCTCCCTTCGTCCTGTTCTTTGTGTGCTTTGCTCACATAGAAAAAAAAAAACAGAGTGAAAAATAACCAGAATATCAGCTCCGCTGTTTTTTCAGGCTGCTACTGTGAAGCTTCTTTAAGTTTTTTTTTTTTTTTTGTTAGAAACCATATATAGTTGGAAACTTTAAAAGTGTTATCTTAAGCACTTCATGCACTTCACAACGCTGCTCTACCCATAGAACAAATTATCAGGATGAATCTTAAGCTTTCCCAAGGGAAAATATGCAACTCGGACTGTAACTGGTCCCAACTATTCCCAGTTCAAATGGTTAATGGAGCAATTCCCATTGGGACTAGTTCGTCCCCACTGTAATGGGTCCCAGCTGGGCCCCATTGGTTCTAGCTGCTACCTGGTCCCACAAGCTGATACCAGTTGTTTCCCCACTGCAACTGGTACCAGTTTTCTCCTCTGAAACTGGTCCCAGCTCACCATTGTAGCTGTACCAGCCTACTAGAACCATATTGGTGTATTGAATCTTATTAGCCAGCTGGAACTATACCTATTGATTTAATCTTGCGCAAGTGTTTCATCGGTGTCACGTCATCATGCCGAAATCCCAAAATGTAGCAGCACCCCTTCATTTGTCATAACAGTGAATGAATGAGGCATATGTTCAAATACTTTGTCATCAAAACTACATATGCTTCTTCTGGCTCTTTATGATGGTGGGAACCTTGCAGGTGACTATTTTTCCAAGACAGCTATGACTTTTGTTTATTTCTTTGATGCTGCAGTATCGGAACAATGTTGCAGGAGATGAACTATAGCAAAAGGTCGAGTTAAATATTACACACACATCAACTGTGGCTTATTTCAATAAAGAAAACGGTATATAGTCAAAAATTTACGGTAATAAAGGAGCGAAAATACGAGAGGGCAAAATGAAAACACATGGCTAGCGCCTTGTCCTGTTTACATGCTTGCAGACTGCACTTGAGCTGTGCCGAAGTATGAACTGCAAACTCGCCCAAGCTTACACCTTGAGTAAATTCTACGAATAGAAGCTTGAGCTGTGCCCAAGTAAGAACTGCAAACTCGCCCAAGCTTACACCTTGGGTAAATTCTACCAATAGGAACTTACCATTTATATTGGGTCAATTCTACCAATAGATAAAGTGCTCTTTTTCAGAGTGTTGTATGACTATCATGCTATGCAACTAAATCTCAACTTGAGGATGGTATGAAGTAAATTATGCCTGGTTATATTCTCTTTGAGGCAATCAAAAAGATATAGCACTGTAGAAAACAACCTAAATTCTATATAATTGTAAATCAAACACAGCTAGTAGTCAGGCTGCAGTGTGTTGGATAACACACGTTCAGTCCATTACACGCTTATGCCTATAACAGCATAATATAATAAATACACAAGAAGGCCTCATGATTTATCATGTGGCCTTCTTGTGGCTCTTGTGACTTTATGTAGAACAAGTATATATAAGCCGATTGGTGCTCACTACAAGACCGGAACCGCATCGACTGGGGTGTTTTCTTAGGAGGCGATAAACGCGTTTTTGGCTGAACACGCACGTTGTGCATACAGTACATAAAAGGTTTTCAAGAATTCAACGGCACGCACGAGCAGGGCGCCAGTCCACCTCAAATCTGCACTCATGTCTTTTTGGGTCTTTTTTTCTGTGCATACTGCAAAACCGAAAACAAACTGCAATGCTACTTGTGCTCAATAATTCAACTCTATCAGAGCGTCTGAACTTGAAGTTGAGGCTTCACTGGTCCTGCTGCCATTACAAGACAAAGGACTGACTTGTTTTGCCAGCATTTCGGTTTCGTCCCACATTTTTAAAACAAAATTAAAGGTGATATCTAACAGGATTTAAATAGAAGGATTCCGTGCACTCAACTCACCAAATAATCGGAGCACATATGCGCCTAGAAGTACCTTGTTGCTTGTCTTGCCATTATTCTTGGAGCCACTTTGTGGAGCTGAAATCCAAGAAATTTGTGGCTGAGTTCTTAATATGGTGTATGCTGAACATAGCGATACTTTTTTGCAGACTAGTTGGTTCATACTTGAAAAATTGAATTGCTGCACAAACTTGAAGAAAAACAAGGGAGACAAGAAAGAGCACACTCTTTCCTGTCTCCCTTGTTTTTCTTCAAGTTTGTGCAGCAATTCAATTTTTCAAGTCTGAACATAGCCTTTTCGTTATCATCGCGGAAGCACAGTAGAGCAAACACCGTGTAAACGGGCTTATGTGATGCATTGAAATTGCACAAAACATGCACTGAGGCTGTAGTGAAGTGGTGAATACAGAATGTTTCAGCTTAGCTTGACCACAGGCTCAGCTCATTTTCGTATCAGGCGAGCAAAGGTTGCGCACCGCGCAAACTTCGCTCGCATGATACGGTCAGCGTGTTTACGGTCAGCTCGCCTAGCTCAGTCAGCACGTTTGCAGATATCCATAATTTTTTCTTGTTTGTTTTTATAGCAGTACTCGGGATGCTTAGCATAAATTGATATAAAATTTAAGTAACATTAAAAGCTTCTTTTAAAGGTTAGTGCATTGCTTATAGCCTGCTGAACCAAGTAATGTGTAAGAAAACAGTTCAAACATGCAGCATTGCCTTTGGGCACTCCCCCCCCCCCCCCCCCATTGTCTCACAGTGGCTGAAAATAAGTACACTTGAACTCTGCTACAATGAACACCGCTTCAACAAAATTTCCGCTACAACGAAAAATTCACGATTCCCCGTCAGCAGTCCATAGGAGTCAATGCATAAATATTGTCGCCACAACGAAAACTTTTTCTTGGATCTTCCCGCTTCAACGAAATTTTATGATGCAATTCCAGGCTCAGATACTTGTTGCTATGCAGTACACCCAATCTTTAACGTTTCGATGCATTTTCAGAGCCTGAAAATGCTTCAACGGAGTCTAAAATACGCATTGGCACCTCCAGAAACTGCCGCTGTTCAACAAGTATGGGCGCCGCCATTGCTCGATAGCAATGGCAATGAGACTGCCTTGCTTTTGCCACTGGCTTATTTTGAGCCGCAGATGAACAGAAGCTGAAGATCAGTCGCTCAGTTCATGGTTTTCTTCATGCAGCATCTGGATGCAACCGCGGACCGATGCCTTTACAGATTCCGATTCTTAGCATTATGTTCGCGCTTGGCTAGTGTGGCAACTAATCAGAGCGTCTGTTCGTCCACATTATCAACAAAATCAGCTAGCTGCGAGTGATGGATAATAATGATGGCACAGAGTAATGCAAGTCGCCGCTCCACGATACCCTGCCTTCATCTCTGCGTTGTAGGATACTTTTGACGACGGACAGCTGCTGGTGTTCATATGTTAATGCAACTGTTTGGTTTTTTTATGAAGGCGGTTTTAGGCATGTCTCAGCGTGCATTTCACCATGGCCTCGCTATGCATGGGTGAGAATGACGTCGTGACGCTGCTGAGAAAGAATAGGAAGCAGCAGACATTTTTCGAATTTTGAGAATAAATGTTCCTTTGTGTTGCTAGCTCTGATCAGCTATATTTTTTCGATTTCACTAGAACGAAATTTTTTCCGCGCCCTGTCAGTTTCCTTGTAGCGGGGTTCGACTGTATATCTCCGAGGATATATTTTAAGCTATTTATTTATTCATTTTCTCTGAGGGTCAACAGATATTACAGAGGGGACTGGTAAAAAAAAGAATAAAGACACAAGTTTGTAAGTACAAAGGGGCAATACAATGTTCCTGATAATACAACAACAGATTATCATAAGCAAAAACAAAAAAAATGAAAATGGCATAGATGAAAACAGTAAATAGAAGAATACATTTTTGTAAAGAAAAGTAAAAATAAAGGCAACATTTCTGAATATACAATAATTGCTGTTACAATTCTACACAAGTAGCCATGAAATGTTCTTAATTATACAAATGTATAAGATGAAAACTACTATCATGACATCATCCAGTCATTAAAATGGTTTTTGATAAATGCACTTAGATTGCTGGCCGACCATGAGTCCACTGCTTTAGATATACTGATTAATTTAACTGCTAATCAACCAGGACCAGCTCACTCCTTACTATTCACCACATATACTAAATGTCACTTGACTATGTATACCAGCCGCAAGCAGTTTCTAGCGCAACCGGTTCGAACACAAATGGAATGAGTTGTGTACAGTACAACTTAAAATAGTTCCAGTTAGATGTTTGTTAGATCCAGTAGATTGCTTTAAATGGGGTTTTCAACTAAGACGATTTTTATCAATTCGCTTCCTGTAGAAGTAAGTCATTCCCAACTAGTACCAGTTGCTCCCAGTCAAACGGCAAATATTCCCAGTTCAAACCCAGCTTCAACAAGTGGATCTCTAACCGTGACCAGTCACTTTAGTTAAAATGGAAATTTTCCCAGTTCAACATTAATCTTGAACCAGTTGATCTCCTACTGGGACCAGTTGTTATCTGTTCAACTGTAAATATTTATAATTTAATCTTAACTTGAACCAGTTGATCTCAGTTCATCCTAGCTAAAACCAGTTTCATTCTCAGTTACACATTTTCACCTGAGCTGTGCGTGGCCTTTCACAGGCTGCATGTGAAGCACATACTCTCGGAGCCTGACGATTCCTGGGAAGGTGCCCGAGGCCGCGTGCGGAATGAGCTGCTAGAGCCCCTGCTCCCCGAAGACATTCGTCAGAGTGACTCCCTGCTTGTGTGCATATGCGGTCCGTTGCCATTTACCAAAGCCGCGGTGAAGTGCCTGGAGGACCTACAGTGCCCTTCGAAGTCCGTGCACGCTTTTCTCGGTTGAAGGACAGCAAGCAGTATGTGCAGAAAAAAAGCTGGTCCGAAATCTCTGCACCATCAACGTGCCATTAAACGCTGAGCTTGAGATTCTCGTGCCACGAAATATGTAACAGCAAGTGAACTCCATAACTTGCACCGTAATGCTAGGAAATGTTTTTAATGTAATTTTTGTACGATTTGTGAATTTTTGCTCATTTCAACTGTCACTTTTGATGCTGAGATTGCAGTTTTGTGTTTTTGTTTTGCACTGTTTTTTTGCAGTACAATTCCCAGTTTTGCCACCAGAAATTCTGCTCGTGAAAGTACAAGTCACACTAGCTTGAATAAGTTGACATCAAAATGCACTCTTGTGCATTGAGATGTATTGCAAAAAAGTATTGCAACAGTGTACAGAGCTGGCCTGTATTTTGCTATATCTGACGTATTCTGTGAGCTGTAGCCTTTTGAAATCTCTGTTATGTGCTAGTACAGACACACATAAACATAACATACATTTCAGAGTTTAATCAAAAACTGCATTGTAAAATATTACAGTGCACAGATTATGATATGCTTCCATGAAGAAGCCTTTTCTGTGTGACACTTATGCGGGACTTGGTGTAGCAATTGTTTCTGGTAAGAGAATCTCTATCTCAGTATGTAATACTGCACGCAATGTGCTTGTGCAGTAGCATGGCCATATCTTTGCCGGAACACGAAAATGCAAAATTACTTCGTATCACAGCAGAAATTTCTTTTGTACATTGCTCAGCGAATCCGATGACGTACTGCAGGTGTACGTGAACGTGACCCATGCACTGTTATAACAGTTTTAGAAGTATATTTCGAAACCTGTTTCTGTTTGAATTGTGTTGTTTTTCACTGCACAGCTGCTATACTATCATAGCATTGCTGTCCAAAAAGTGACTTCGAGTGGTGCACTGCTGCAAAATTTGGTACTTCTTATACTCACCAGAAACACCGCATCTGTGTGCGTTGTTCCTTATCTCCAGTGTATCCACATAAAAAAACAACTCCTGCAGAAACCATCGATGGTCATCAACGTTAGTTATAAGCTAAAAGAAAAAAAGAGTACACCAACTAGCACAGAATCTAGGTACTGTGGCTACTGAAAACAATTAAAAGCAAGCACAGCAACAAACTGTAAATTGCAGTGCTTTACTTTGACAGTTAATAGACGATCTACAACCGCTGAAGTGAGCACAAACACGTGCTGCTTGCCAGATTAGGGCGAAGGGGGCTATGAAAGATCCGTGTGAAACAACTTAGGTGTGCTTGTGAGATATTGCTACAAACTTGACGAGAACTTCACAGACACACGTCAGTTGCCTAGTCAAGCATATGGCAAGGGCTGTATGAATCGCGCACAGTGCTCTGAATGGTTTAGTCAGTTCAAACGCATCAGAATGACCGTCAGTGTTGATCTGAAGCTTCTACTACCTTTCACATCAACAGGTAGTGACCACAATGCCTGGAGAGTTTATGCTGGGATCCACAGAAATGGTCGTTTAATCTCTGAGAGGTTGCCGACAAACAGCGCATCAACGCAAGATGATGCCACCAAATACGTGATGACAATCTCGAGATGCCTTGTGTAGGTGCGAAATTTTTGTCTTATTTGTTCAATGAAGATGAGAAACATCGCCGTGCTGGAATCAACCAGGTACTTGCCATTGCTGATGAAAATGAATACTTTCATGAGAACATTATAACAAGTGAAGAGATACAGGTGTTTGGCATGGTGTTGAAACTAATTTATAGTCATTGCACTGATTAGGCAGTGTCCCCCAGCAGTAGCATAAGTTCATAAACACCACAAGGGGACACACATGTCTTGAAATGACGGCCATTTTGTTTTTATACATACGATTTATTTTTGATCATATAAAATTCAAATGTGTATTCAAATATGGTAATAATAATAATATATGAATAAATAAATAATAATAAGCAAACATGAATGTTGGCACCTGGTTGGAAAAAATAGCACTGAGATTCCAACAGTATATACACCACATCACATGGCTGCCTATATTGGTGTTTTCTCTCATGGTTGAGGGCACATTCTCTTTCCTTGCAAGCTGGTAGTTCAGCATTCATCACAAAAAGACTGTTTCCATTGTCAACTCGCGCCGTTCATATCGCCAGACAGTGAGCGCTGAGACAGTGGCACCCTTTCTCTTGCTCTCAAGCAAATCAACTGCCACAACAGCAGCAGAATACGATGCACGCCGACGCACAGAGACCTTGAAGTGTTTTGGCTTTAAAAGCATTGCACGAATTGGTCAAAAATCCAGGTGATTTCGCTTGAATTCTTTTATTTTTGCTGAAAAGCATTTTTCATCATGAATTAATATCATATGGCATCATTACAAGGTTAAATGGTAAACTAGATAGTTAACCAAAAAAATTCTAGCACAATTCAGGGTTGTTATGTACTACAAGAGACCTGAATTTTGGGAAAATCAGGCTTGGATGTTGCCTAAGGACACTGCACTAACTCATACACTGCTTCTTGTTTGGAGCTATTTTCCGAACTTATTTCTCTTACCTCGACGCAAAGCACATTACAATGACATCATTCCTAAATCATATGGGAGATTTAGAACAACGCAACAAGAGGCCTGGTCACCATCTCATAAAGTGTATTCCAGGAAGCTTTACAAAAATAGAAGAAATCATGTGGATATCACAGGCGTGCGCAGAGGAATGTGGGGGGGATCATGGAGCATTTACCACCGCCCTAGCCATCTAAGGGGACGGCTTAAGTTCTATCTCTAATGCTGGAATTAGAAACATGCAGCCCGCACATGACCCGCTTCTGTCTTTATCGCACATTTTTAAAGACTACATATTCGTTCTTGAGATAATTGAACACAGAAATGTTGGCCCGTCACACGATTCAGCCACCTGGCCAAAGTTTATGAACTTGGGTGCACGTTAAAGAACCCCAGGTGGTCTAAATTTCCGGAGCCCTCCACTACGGCGTCTCTCATAATCATATAGTGGTTTTGGGACGTTAAACCCCACATATCAAAGTTTATGAACTTGCTCAACACCCAGCCATATTGAACTGGTATGTCCTACATTCATACTTGTGAACATTATTGATCAAAAAGCAAATATTATGCAAATCTGAGGCAGAACATCAATACGCAAGTATTTGGTGATGAGTTTCTTTGCTATAAAATACACAGATATGCAGTTCTAAAGACCCTATAGTGTTTCTTATGCTGTGCCAAAGATGCGACGCTATGCACAAAAAAAGCCCTCTGCAGACGAAATGGGGCTGCCCAGTTCAGCAGGCGTCTACATTGGTGCACCAGTAGTACACACACACAATCATTGACCCTTCCATGCAATAAAATACATGTCTCACGAGTGGTTTTTCTTTGCAAACTATCATACTACACAGTACCACACGCGATCAAAATATTGCTGGCATCTCGTGGAGGTACGAATATATTGTGCACCAGCAGTGATAATGCAGTAAAATAAATCTGTTCAAACATCCTTCATTGCATTCATCATGCCAGGATGGAAGTGCTAGGAGAACAGCATCACAGGTGGCGGCGGATGTGATCAGGAGAAAGAGAGAGAACCACTTTATTAAAAATAAGCAAACCCCAGTCCGTATCCACTAAAATAAATGCCCATCCATCTAGATGCCCATCTATCTAGAAGACAAAGCTAGGAGTTTCAAATGTTGGATCAGTATCTTTATGATGTCTGGGGAGGAGTCTGCTAGGCACTCCTCCAGGATCGCAGGTCTTAGGTTTATAGGTACGTGCCTGAGGCTCTCACCCATGGCTGCGCGACCATCTGGACAGTCCCAGAGAATGTGAGTGTTATCCGGGAAGCCACCACAAGCCATGCAAGCAGGAGACCCGTCTTTGCCTTGTATGTAGTGCTGAATGTGTGGCGTCATTAAAGAGTAAGTTTGGGCTCGCCTTATTAGGGCTGCCTCGCATCTCATCATGGAGTGAGGAGGATCGGGATAAACCCTGTGATTGTTGCGCATCTCATCTAATCGTTCGTGCCTGTCTGCCATGGTAAGTAATTCGGCACGCTTCAGTGCATTCACAAAGGAGGGCCTGGGAAATTTACGCTGGACATAGAGTGTGCCACTTCATTCCCTCTCAGTGACAAAGTATCCACTGTATACAAACACGTAACGAAGTGCGGTCAGTTAAGTGCTTCGTAAGTTTGCTGTGATGCGCGTCTGGAACGTCACCTGTCGAGAGGGCTCGACAGGCTGCTTTTCTATCTGTGCGTATCGGTAAACTACGGGCATTTGGGTTGGGCATAGTAACTGCTTCTACTATGACATGAAGGTTACTTTCACTGCATTTCTAACCAGAGGAAGTTATTTTCGCTTGGCTCACAAGCCGACGCGTGGCTGTGAGGTGTATTACCTGCTTGCCACGCAAAAGACCTGGGATCAACCCCCTATCAGACCCAGAATTCCTTATTATTGCATCTTTGGTGTCGTTTCTGTCACCCACAAGATAATTTTTTCCTCGCAACCGATAGCACTGACGCCGGAGTTGCTGCTAAACGAGCTCTTCAACGCATCTGGCGTTAAAATAGGATACACACACTACAGCAGCATGCAACCGTTATTACCCTTAGGTTCTTGTCACCCTTGATAAGGTTCAACTTTTGTCTGACGTCACGGCGTGTCACGTGGGCGGGCGTACTGTACGTTTGTTCCGAGCCTAAGGGTCCTTTGAGAAGTTGGTTCCCCCGCAATGCATGCTCGAAACCAGGGAAAAATTTTGAGGCCCTTAACCGATGATAAGGCCCAACTTTCGGCTGACGTCACACCTTGTCACGTGGGCACACTGTATGTTTGTTCAGAGCTAAAGGTTCCCCTGATAGCTAGGCTTCGCTGCAATGAATGGTCAAAAACAGTCGAAAAAGTAGGCTTTTGTCACCGATGATAAGGCCCAAATTTTGTCTGACGTCACCCCTTGTCATGTGGGCGTATTAATGGTTTGTTCGGAGTTCGTGGTTTCCCGGAGAAGTTGGCTTCCCCAAAATGCATAGTGGAAATCGGCGAAAAACTGTGAGGTCCCCAATTGTAATAAGGCTCAAGTTTTGTCTGACGTCATGACTTGTCACGTGGCCGAACTGTACGTTTATTCCGAGCTAACAGTTATCCTGAAAAGATGGTTTCCCCGCAATAGATGGTCAAAACTAGCGAAAACTTTTGAGGCCCTTATCACCCATGATAAGGCTCAACTTTTGTCTGACGTCACAACTTGTAAAGACGGGAATACTTTGCTGCGTTTCCTCCGAGCAAATTGATCCCCTGGTGCGTTGGCTTCACTGCAATGAATGGTCAAAAGCAGTCTAAAAAGTTGAGGCCCTTATCACCCTTGATAAGGCACTACATTTGTCTGGCGTCACAATTTTAGTGACAGGCTACTTTGCGTATCTTCCGAGAGAAATGTTCCCCTGATGCATTCGCTTCACCGCAATGCATGGCCAAGAACAGTCGAAAAAGTTGGGGCCCTTATCACCCATGATAAGGCTGAACTTTTGTCTGACATCACAACTTGTATCGACCGGCATATTTCGAGCACCTTCCAAGTAAATGGATCCCCTGATGCAGTGGCTTCACTGAAATGAATGGCCAAAAGCTAAAAAGTTGAGGCTCTTATCACAGATGATAAAGCCCAACTTTCGTCTGACGTTACCCCTTGTCCCGTGAGTTAACTGTATGTTTGCTCGGAGCTAAATGTTCTCCTGAGAAGTTGGCTTCCCTGCAATGAACGGTCAAAACCAGCAAAAAATTTTGAGGCCCTTATCACCACTGATAAGGCTCAACTTTTGTCTCACGT